TCTGACTTTAGAAGTACATTTCCAATTTCCTATAATTATCAATTGCTTCTTATCGCACTACAGTATTCGTTAAAAAATACGATAAGCACATTTAAACAAACAATACAATTTGAAGATATAAAATGACATAAAACTGCTAGAAATATTTATTAATAAAAAAGTGTACTTGATCTTACCATTTTATGATTTAATAACTGTTACTGACCACTGACAAGTATACAGCATGGATTTTAACAACAACAAAACCTCCATGGTATCCTAACTTACAAATTTATTGGTTAAACTATTACAATTGCATAATTATTTGTAATTTTTGAAACGAAAAAAAGAACAACTATTCAATAACAACAATTTGCACAATTTTTATGCCAAAAACTGTTTACTCGTGTTATTTAACATATTTCTTAACATATACTTTGAAAGAGATTTGTGTCTCGATTAAATTATTAGTTTTCACGAAATGACCAGAAGCTATTGTTGTGTACTTAAAAGCATTGAAAATAGTATTGATGTCAATCTTCGAATGCACTTTTTTTTACAAAAGATGTCTCTGCATGAAAATACTTTCGTCAATCTACAGTGAGTCTCATTGATCTTTGCCGAATTGCTAGAAGTACAAACGCACTGTGACGGTTGTTCTATATGAAATGGCGTACGATGCGTATGATGGCGAATAGCGTACGATGCCTTTTCCATAGAACCATAATCGCTGTGAGTTTGTGTTGAATCTAGGGATTCGGCAAAGTTTGATGAGACTTTCTGCACAAACAATTATTTTATGATTTTAAATTTTCTGAAGTAAATATGTTTGAATTTGATGCTTTTATGATCACCATTTATTTCTGTGATGATTTTTTCCGCGCCAATTTACTTAGAATTCACGCAGTATCCAACAAAAATGTAGTGTTTACATGATGTATTATATACTTTAAAAGCTTATCTTACAATTCTATATTATATACAATGAATGATGTAAAACGTATATAAAGGTTTGTAATTTTTCAGATTCATTATGAAGTTCCACATAATCTTATAGAATTACTCAGATCAATTTTAAGAAAATTGATATTGCATTTTGAAT